ACTTCTCAGTGACAATATATTTGCACAGTAGAGTATTATCTATGTATTACATATATGGCCTTTTTATTTTCCTTCTCATTGTTTTGCTTTGAGATAAAGAGTATATCCTAACATACACTAAGATGAAGCTTTTTCAAAGCATACAAACGTCCTATCCTTGAAATCATACTTTCCTGAATATTTTATGTTCAGAGTCAGGAAAAGGAATTAACAAGGAAATAGAAACAGATGTTAGACTAATGTCCCCCAAAAAGTGAAATGCTTAGAAAAATACATAGTGCCAAAATATGCCTTATTTGGTTTTAAGTGATTTTGGCAGGAATAGAGCTGGGAGGATTCTGTTAAAAAAAAAAAAAAAAAAAAGATATTTGCAATGCTTTAAGTATAAACCACACAGGCATTTGCTTTGATGTTGTTTGCAGTTCCTTTTATTCATTGCCTGGGAAAACGCAGTTTAATTTTTTTTCAAGTTCATGAAAGAATGTTCAAGGTATGCAAAGGACTTCTGGACAATTGTGTAAATATGTCTTCATAGAAAACTCTACGCCAGAAGTATTTGTGTGGCCATCTTGAAATCTCTTCAATCTTTTAGCCTCCTTTTTATGAAAGCGTGAATGATGCAAAAAGCAGGCAAAAAAACCCGAAAACAAAACCAAGCATGCTATAATTTAGATGGTCTTGTGTAGTAAACTAGCAAACAATCATTCAAAACAAGCAGTCTGTGAACAGCCTTCGTAATTTAAAGGTACTTGTTTAGTTCAGTCAGTATTTGTAGAAATGAATACGTCAACAAAGCTGCATGGATTAGAAAAAGAAGAATCCCTGCCATATAGTTCAAGTCCCAGAAGCAATCTCGTTGCAGCACCCTGGAGTTCTGTGGACACCTGTCCAGTCACAGTGGAAACATTTACAATACTTTTAGGGCACTCACAAAGACAGTTCCATCAAGGACAGCTGACACCGAGACATCCTATTTTTGGCTGGAGGACTTGATGGCAACCCTGGAATACACTTTTTACGTTCATGCTTATGCCACAAGGTCTCCATACAAAGCTTTTCTAGTGTTCATGTACAACTCTATGATCCCACATAAGAGCCCCACCTGACTTGGGTGATTATTCTCCTGTGCTTTGAGGCAAAAAGCTAAAGAGACCTGTGCCAGGAGTTGGACCTCTGGACATCCAGCTTCTTTCATAGCTTTCCTACTTGCCTGATAGCCCAGCCTGGAGACAACAGAAATGAACATCACCCAGCCTCATGGCACAAGCTACTGAACAATATGATTGAAGGTTGTGTACAAGGGGAAGTCAAGGACATCAGAAATAATGCCTTCTCCTGGAGCATCATAGCAGGAGACAAGATGAGCTGTCAGTGACACAGACTCTATTTCTGATGAGCATACTATTGCTGCCCAGGACCTTTACTGTCTGACTTACGCGGGAAAGAGGCAAAGGCCTCAGAGCCAGCCCATGAGGTTCTCAACACCTGATGCCACACCTGCAACATTTACAAGAAGGGCCAGAAGGAGGATCCGGGGAACTACAGGCCTGTCAGCCTGACCTCGGTGCCGGGGAAGATT